AAAAAAAAAAAGAGCAGAGTAAACAATAAGCAGACTACTATTGCCACATTTTTAGAAAGGTCCCCACAAAGAGGTCCTCCTTGGTGCTTGTTGAAGACGTGGGCTCAGCTTGGAATAAACTAGGGTCACCGTAATACCAGTGATACTGGTAGAGGACGTGGGCTAGTGAGACAATAAAACAGTCACAGGAGCTGTGACTTCTGTGCTTCTCATGTGGCAGATGCTGTGCTGGGGGCCTGGCACTCCTGAGCTCCATGAACCCTAACTCCAGCCTGTGAGGGACACACTCAGCCCCATTTTACAGATGAGGCCGCCGAGGCCCAGAGACATGGCTCCTGGAGGGCCGGGATGACGTCTACCTGCTCACGGTTGTCGCCCTAGCACCCAACAGCGTCTGACTCAGTGAACATCTGTGGGACAAGGAACGAGCTCATGTGTGCTTGGGCAGCTGGAGGGTGGCCCAGGCGGGGCTGGGGACCCGTGGGCCTCAACCTGAGCCCTGGTGCCTCACGGCTGTGGTCCCGCCGAGACCTGTCAGGGGAGCGGGTACCTGCAAAGCCCGAGCCACAGTTGGTGATCATGTCAAGCAGGGCGTCCGGCAGGAAGCCGGCAGCGGCGAAACGCTCCAGGAAAAGGTCGCCCTGCCTCTTGGACAGCTTGCTGCCGTCCGCGTTGACGAGCAGGGGCAGGTGTGCGAAGCGCGGCGGCGGCCAGCCCAGGGCCCGGTAGAGCAGCAGGTGCTTGGCGGTGGACACCAGCCACTCGGAGCCCCGCAGCACGTGGCTGACGCCCATGTGGTGGTCGTCCACCACGCAGGCCAGGTGGTAGGTGGGGAAGCCGTCGCTCTTCAGGACAACCGGGTCCCCCTCCACGCTGGCCACCTCATGCCGATTCCAGCCGTACACCAGGTCCTGGAAGGCCGGCGCCTCCTCGTCCAGGCGAAAGCGGATGGCTGGTTTGGGGTCACTGGCCAGCTTCTGAGCCACCTGCCGCTGGCTCAGATTCCGGCACCGATTGTCGTAGCTGTTGGGAAGCAGAGGACCGATGACAGCATGAGCCCTACCTGTGTCTCTGATAAACGTATGACCTTGTGCAAAGACAAAGATCGCCCGTCAATACACAAGTACACTGTTTAGAACGTAAATGCGAGGCTGCAGTGCCTGGAAACCGGAACGTAGGTTAGGATGCCACCGCGGATGGCAGGGCCACTAGGCAGCAGCTCGCGCAGCAACAACATGACCCTATAAGTCCACGACACCACATGTGTGCAAAATGATCAACGCCAATGTCGTCCATCACAGCTCCCTCTTTTTCACAACAGAAGGATAGAGGGGACACAAAGGGTCCTTTGGGAGAAAGTGATTAAGGAAGTGGGGGTACATCCACATGCTGGAATAGTACCAGGAGAGCGTAAGAAAATACTGAGCTGAGACAGACTACCCTCCAGACAGGAAGCTGCACAACACGCACACTGTGTGTCACTGTCTCAGCGGGAGGCACAAAACCTGCCTGCACCTGTCCGTGCACGTGGAGGAGACAGACGCAAATCCTGACACCAGCTGTCTCCAGACAGGGAGCTGAGCAGCCAGACTCGGGCAGGAGAGATCTCTGCATGTGTACCTTTCCGAACACGAGAAAATTATACTTATCTGAAATGACTGATAATTAGAACACCCTTGCGTGTTACTGCCTGGGACCCAACGTGGCAGCTCTGACGTGGCCCCGATGGCCCGCCTCTTGGTGTCTCTGCCCTGGTGTCACCCCCTCTCTCCCTGTGAGCGTGACCTGCTGACTCCCTCCACATGGACACAGCACGACAAAAGTGGGGAGATGACGCTTCCTCGATGAGGCCACACAGGACTCTGGCTTCTGTCTGGCTCACTCTGTGGAAAGGCAGCTGCCATGTTGGGAACTGCCTATGAAGAAGCCCTCGTGGGGAAGTGGAAGCAGGTCGTCTGTGAGTCCAAGCCTTGAGGTGACCGCAAGCCGGCCAGGACCCTGACTGAGGCGTTGAGGGAAACCCCAAGCCTAAGGTCCGGCGAGCCATGCCCAGACTCCTGAGCCCCAGAAACTGTTAGACAATAAAAGTTGGGGGTAGGGCCGGCCGAGTGGCGCGATGGTTAAGAACTGGCTTAGGACGCCAGAGGGCCCCGGTTCGGATCCCACATATGAGGGCCAGTGACACTGCCCTCTACAGCTAAGATGCTGAACAACANTCCAAGTCGGGGAAGAAAAAACATCCAGGAGAATCCAGGCACGTGGGCATAACACAGGGAGACGAAGAGGGCACCAGAGTAAGAGGATTTACTAATTGCTACCTCTGTGCCTCAGTTTTGTGACCTGTCAAGTGGGGATAATAACAGTGTCTGCACCTCACAGAGCTATGGTGGGCCCAGGCTAAAACTTACAAAGCACTAGGTACATTGTCTGAACAGGTAAGAACTCAAAGGTGTTAGATCTTATATTTCAACAAAAAGCTAAGCATTAGCCAGTACGTATGACATTCCAGAGCTCACAGACACTGCATCAGGATCTAAAAAGTAATCATTCTTATTGTATCGTTAAGTGGGCCACGTGATCGCTGTCATTACGAAGTGGGGGGGGATGAAATGCTGGAGATGGTGAATGTCACGTGGAAAGAAAAGACTCCTCGATGTCAGTGGTGGGGAAGCAGCCTGCTGAGAACTGGGGTCCATGAGGACAAAAGCAAAACCTAGGGATGGCAGGACCCTGGAGAGAGGGACAAATGCCATCCGCCCGCGAGGGACTGTGAGGTAAAGAGCAAGGCTCTTCTACGTCTGGGGGAGAATCCCACCCCCTGTGTACCCTGTCCGGAGCCTCTGCGGAGCCAGGAGCCAGGATGGAGGCGTGTGGGGCAGAAAGTCGAAGGGACAGATTCAGTCTGGGGACATACTGCAGGCCCCCGCCTGAAGCCAGCCCTCGCTCTGGCCACCGTGAGGACACAAACCGGTTATTCCCTCCACGGCTGATTCCTGCCCTTGTCACAGAAATCATCCGATGCTCTTACAATCAGAGCCAGCATCGTCTCCACCTTTCATAAGAGGAAGCGGAAGCTCCAGGAGGAACAGGGACTTGGCCCAGGTGAAGCCATCTGGGCAGGTGAGATAACTGGGTGAGGAAGAGGCGGGCCGGGATGGAACCGAGCCTGGAGCCTGGGCGCGCCTCTCCCGGGAGAGCTGGGCTCCTCTGGGCTCCCCTCCTACCAAGACCTCTCACTGGCCATGGGGACACACTGTGGGCCCCCAACAGCCAAGTCTGGCGTAATGGGGGCCTGGGAGGGAGAGAGGGCGCGAGGGTGCAGAGCCGCAAGCCCGGCCTGTGGGCGCTCACCCCAGCACGCGCGTGGCAATCTCATCCACCTTCTCCGAGATGGCGCCCAGCTGCGCCCGCTCCACAGCAGGGCGAGTCCACAGGTAGGAGTGCGTGGGGCAGACCAAGTCCTGCAGGCGGCAAACGTGGCCCTGGGGGCAGGGGCAGACGCTGAAGGCCCTGGCGAAGGACAGGGTGCCGCTCACTCGCTCGGCCTCCTGCAGCTCCCAACCCCAGCACACCTGTCTCAGCAGGATGACCCTCTCCACGTAGGCTGGGTCCAGGACAGCTCTGTCCGTCAGCTGGCTCCCAAACGCCTCCTCAACGAGCACCTGCAGCTTCCCCACCAGCTGGCGCCTCTGGGTCTCACAGCTCACCAGCCGACGGAGGTGCAGCCTGGAGCAGAAGCCAGAGAAATTCTCTTTACACTTACAGGAGTAGAGGGGTCTGGCCACGGTCCAACACAGGTAGCCTGAGAAGCCCCAAGGCCCGGAGACAAGCTGTGTTCAGCGCTCTTAAAATAGCAGCTAAGACTTTAAACTAGGAAGAGATCACAAAAAATAGAGATTTCTGGCTTCTCTTGGGAAATTGGAAGATCTGGCTTCAAAGGGCCCTTGTTCCGGGGCTTCAGCTGGTCCCAGCGGGGTGATGGCTGCCTAGTTTAGGCCGACAGACCACTCGTTTGCAGTCCCTCGGCCCCTGTGTCTGTCGCCTGGGCCACCTGCCTGGCCTCTACAGCCACCTGTCTGCCAAGCAGATTGGACTGCGTGCTTCCCCGCACAGCTCGAAGCATGCGCTCTGGCACCAAGGGCAGGTCGCTAGGATTCTGAGCCAGGGGACAGTCCAGGGGGCAGAGTCGCTTGAATTCAGGACACCCAGTGAAAACAGTCAGGTTTTCTTGTCGCCTCAAATGTCCTGCCTTCCAGAATTCTTCCAACTGCCTTGTTTCCTCCTTTGGAAGCAGCCACACCTCTAAAGAGTTGAAGTCAGTTCTCGGTCTCTTAGGCTGCCCTGGCCCTGTCCCCAGCAGGAGTAGAGGGACCCGAGAAAGAGGGTGCGACTCGGGAGCCCACAGACCCTCTGCCATGGGGACCGACCGTCGGCATGAGGGCCCTTTGCCCCAGGGGCTCTCCAGGCTCCCCGCTCACCTGTTGAGCTCACCTATTGAATTCCGGGAGCTTCTCCAGGTCCAGCAGGGCTGAGTGGCAGGTGATCCGGCTCAGGTCAAACTGTGCTATGAGCTCGTCCAAGGTCCTGCCCATCTGGTTCTCTGCAAGTGAGGGAAGCCCTGCTGCTCAGCTCCCGCACCGCCCCTTTCAAGCCCCAGGGAGGCTCAGCCTGCTTGCTCCAGGCTCTGGGCTCCCCACTCCATGTTCACGACGGGATTTAACCTCTAGCTATTTTATACTTCAAGGGCCCCAGGGAGCTTTCATTTGCAGAACGAGTTCTGCCATTAAGGAAACAACCAGGCTGAACCCACCCTCACTTTCAGTGCCACACGGGCCCTGAGTCCATTGGTCTGGGGTGGAGTCCGGGCACTATGTGCTTGACCAGCTTCCAGGGTGACCCCAAAAGCGGCCAGACTTGAGACTGGCTGTGCTGGGGGCTGGGCCTCGTGGTCAGGCGGAGGCCTACAGTGAGCCTCTGCCACGTCCCTCACCAGCTGTGTGACACTGGAAGGTTACACAACCTCTCTGAGCCTC